AATTCAGTCTAAAAGTTGAGCTCGAGCTGTTGTTCGAGTTCGTATCTGACTTAGTATAAATATGGGAAGTCTCTCTTTCTAAAGGGAGTGCTGCCCAAATTTCTACTAATTCAGAGAGTTAGACATAAGTTAACTTTCAAGAGTAAGAGATTAATTCTGCTTTCGTATCTGACTTAGTATAAATCTGGGAAGTCTCCCTTTCTAAAGGGAGTGCTGCCCAAATTTCTACTAATTCAGAGAGTTGGACAAAATTTGACTTTGCAGGAGTTAGAGATTATTTCGGCTCCCATATCTGGGCTTATATAAATTATGAAAAGACACTTTTCCTACAGGAAGCGCTGCCAAAGTTTTTTTAGTTTACAGGAGATAGATTATATTTTGATAGGTAAATTCAGGCGATCCACCCAGAATAGGGGGGATTTTGCAGTTGGTCTACCTTCAGCTTAGGCACTAACTTAAAAGTAGACTTAAGTTCAGCTAATAAAGAAATTTTGAGTGAGGATGTATTATGGAGTTGTATTCTCCATACACTTATGATCCTAGCTTGGGGATTGGTCTGCCGTGTGTTACAGGTCCTTTTGATCATTTAATCCAAGTTCAGGGCTAGATCCAGCTTGATCCCTTGAGGATCACTTACTGTTATCACAAGCAACAGGTCGGTTGCCGATTCGTCGGTCTACGACTCAATTTCAACTCTCCCTCTACACTCAACCTAAAAGGCTTTAGCCTTGGTGATTTCGTTGTTTTATTAAGGTTTCACCCGGACTTTTATTGAATGACCATTTAACAAAGGTGCTGAGTATTTAATTAAGGTTGGTTGGACAGGAGGTTTGAGACTTGCATAGCTAAAGCGAGGGGTATGAGTGTCGAGGGTGGTTGGGGTTGACCTCGTGTAGTGTGTCGGCTATTGATTTGGTTCGTTGATGTGATGGCAGGTATGTGCTGTGAATCAGATTCAGGATTTGGTTGCCTACGATCACACATTTACGTATTATTGTGAGAGATCCCAGCGGAACCATGAGAAGTGATCGTCACATACTTAACCCTTATATATGTATACATGGGTATACTTGGGATGAATGTTTGCATGGGTTAAAGAGCCCCCACATTAGAGCCCCACTCAGAAGCTGAGACTAAGGGGTTTAGGGGATGTCTCTCCTTTTATTCTCGTCTCTTGCTTTTTGATGATTTTCTTAGTCCGACGTTTGGTCCTGGGCCGGGATTCGAGGTCCTTGTTCAGGACATCCCAAGCCCTAGGCTCTGCAAGGGAGGGGTTTTCCCTCGCACAGAGCCTATTTGATTTCCCTACCGGGACACTCAGGTCGAGAGCCTAAGGTGCAGCAGCAGCTGCACGACTATTCTTTCAGCCGTGCAATGTCGTGAAGGGTTAGGCCCTCACGACACTTCAAGTCTGACACTTGAGTGTCATAAACGATACTCGGATCCACGAGGGACCGCTTGATTATGGGCACTACATAGTACGCCATCGTTGCGACTGCTTGTGTACGCCTGCATTGCAAGTCGATATGAGTATGCCCTGCGTCCGCGCGGTTTTATACTAAGTTCAGCGAGCGACGCCTATCCGATTTCCGCACTGGAAAGTTATGGGTTGACTATCGAGGGGCTAGGAGCGTTGTCGCGTTGTTGGTATCGTGTCGTTTCATATATATGTTGTTTTGTATGTCTGTGTGTTCGTAAAGTGGAGTGCGCGTGGTGTGTGGGATGCGTCCTAGTCGACCGACGATGAGTTGCGCTTGGGACCTCAGCCCCCCCAAGATGTCGGTTCGCGTGCGGGTCCGATAGAGGCGTATTACTGCGCGTACCCCTTATGCTACAGCGAACGAGAAACGCCCTCGGCTGGTCCACCTCTGCGATTGCAACTGATTAGCTTTCGTACTGTGGACTGGTAGCTCGGCGGGGATACGCCCACCGAAGGGAGGTGACAACTCCCGTAAGGTATAGGTAAGTCGTGCCTCGCGTAGACCCTATCCTGTCGTAGGGGCTCGCGAGAGGTATGGCTGGCGCACCCGGCCAGAGCGGCTTGTGGAAGCTCCATGTATATTGCGACGAAGGGTTCTAAGAACCAACTCTTGCGTGACGCGGCCGGGAGGGTCCCGCGCTGCCCCCGTGCGGTGCCGGACCGATGCGCCCGACAGGTGGCGCCGTTGCCGGGGATAACGGAAAGCCTACCGTTGTCCCTGGTGGAATGACATCCGGGTATGAGAAGTGAATAAGAAAAGGCATAAAAGAGTGATGAGAAGGTAATGAAGGAATATATGAATGACTAAGTGTAGGAGGGGAAATTTACCTACCCAAGTAGAGGAAGTATGAGGGACGATCGTGTAAACATTGAGTAAAGTAAGTATTAAGGGTTAGGTAGGACGGATGGAATAGACCGGTCAAGGTATAATGTTGAATAAGGGGATGTGCTTGTTTTCTTTTGTCAGGGAACTTAAGAAGAAGAGGCTGTCAAGATGCCTGAGACTGGCGGCGCATCAGTTGCTCCCAAGAAGGGCCT